TATACGCTGTTCACTGGTTGACCATAACTCTCAGCAGGAAACAGAACGAAGCTTGGGTTGTCGCTCAACTTTGATGGTGACCTTAGTGAAGGGTTTACAATTTAACATTTATAAGAACCTGTTCGAATTACTTGTACAATAATTAAACAATTCCGGCTTTTGAAAAATTATTAATTTATGACACTTCAGGATTGTAATTTATAACATTACTGATCGTGCCTGTAAAAATGGCATGCATTTCTTGCAAACTTACCCGTTTATATGAAATATAAACTATTATTATTTCATGACTGAGGTAGTTCTAAACTTCATCACACGCATTAAAACATATTATGAACATCTGCAAAGTGTACGTCCTAGTGATCCCAATGTTCCAAACGAGTAATACCAACGTAGAGGATACCGCCACTGCATCAATACCGTGGACCAAGGCAGTACCTTTGAAAAGAGGGGTTAGAATATGTAAATTGTGAGTGAACCTGCTTTAGCATAGCTTGAATGATCAAATAATTTCTTATTTAATTCAGGGATATAGTACCGGAATGGGAGGGAATGGTCAATTTCAGGATTCGAAATAACTTTGGTGAACTGGGAGTGGCATTTGAGGAAGTATATTAATTGTGTCCAGTGGAACTCCCACAGGTCTTCTAGAAGTGTGACGCGGTTTCACTTAGTGGACGTTACGAAGCTGGTGCTTCTTTCTAAATTTCCCTTGACTACAGCAGTCAAAAATTTATTTCGAGTTTTATGCATAGGTTTTGTCGGCTGCGGAAGTTGTACTAGCTACTTCACAGTTGAACTGTGTAGTGTTTTAGACGCTGTCAGTCAAGTTTAGTTGGCTTTTTGCAAAGGCCTCACAATACTGACTGGCATATAATTTCTGTAAAATCTGTGAAGTGAAAAGTTCTTGTTCACTCATTTCGGTAAATCACGATAGCTTGATAACACCTGAAACTTGGAGCAGCCTCGGTAGTAGCGACTTCATCTTATTTCACCTCTCGGTCAAGATGGTCCACCAAATGTACAAATGTTAGTAACTTCATTTATGAAGCGTTTTTCCACTAAGATCTATTCTTACTCAGATTTGGTCCTATAAATGGGCAGTTTTAACTATTCCTGTCTTTGATAGTGTTGTAAATTCCCATATTATGAATTGAAAGTCAATCTGAACGAGGAATATTCTTTTCAATAATTTCTCTTCAGGTTCTTACAATCATAAAATATAATATTTGTTGTCGTTACAATAAAGGCCAGTTATGCGGCAGGTACATTTTTAACGTAGAATAACAGATTAGTTATGAGGTGTCAAAATAAATAGTCGTATTTGTGTGACAAACGTGCTAGGCTGAATTCGATTACAAGATATTGTAAAGTGGGAGACAATGGTGATTAATCATAAAAGATTTGTGGAGTGTGCGGTAGGAAAATTGACAAGTCAGTTCAAGGTTATAAAAGGTGTCAGGTGAGTGGCTAGTACAAAGTGGTCTGTGTTAAACAGGAGATAGTAAGACTGCAATGGGAGGTTCATAGTTAGATAACGAACATGTGAAATGAAACAGGTGGAGGTATATATTGAGAAAAGAGATAATATCGCTAATAATAAGTCCGGATAGATATTGATCTGGCCTGAGAAGCCTTAAAATACCATCCCACCCCAGCAAAGCACGTAGGAGCCCTCGAACTATGGCCTGTCTGCGGCCAAAACCCATTGATGAGCAGATTCAGTACGTCTTTCGGAAACGCTTTCGCCAACAGCCATATTCTAAGACTACACACAGATCTTGTAATGCGGCTAAGATACAATATGGTTGCCAAATAAATGGCTTAAAGTGCTCGCTAGATATTGGAAATCGGAACGATAACTCTCCTATTGCAATGGCACTAGTGCAGAAATAAATAGGTGAAATCAGTGGAACAAATCTTTTTTACATCAAAACATAGTCAAACATGGAGGCGGCCAATGTTCTTTGAGCAAGAAGTGATTTGGTGGCAAGCGGATATCGCATATTTTCAAACTATAATACTAGATAACCTGATCGAAAAGCATTTGCTGGTGTCAAAGTGGAAATTTCTCATTCAGAAACTGCAAGATTTTGCCCAATCTTCCCCGACATTTCTGAAATAACAGTGTAAAATGCAGGCACATGGGCTACAGCTTACTTATGCTGACATTGCGTTTGTCCAGAGAAATTGACTCAAGGAACTTATGAACTGTTTGACTCGGTTCATTCCAATTATCAGGTTAAACACTTCGATGACAACTTAGGTAATTTAACGTGCAGCTACATAAATAAATAAAAACATAGGTCAGATGAATAGTCTGTTTTTCAAGTCTGACACTCGAACATTACGAATTTAACATTCGATGTACTACTACATATTTGTCTAACACAAGACGATAACAGTGTCATCAATTCCACCTATGTGAACGACATACCAAATTATAAGTTCTGCCTCAGAACTCTCGCTGATTTGCATGCTAATCCCAAGAGGCGAAGTTAAAATATCAGTCTGAGTTTGAACAACCAGTCAGAATCCATGCGAAAAAGTCCCGAACACCATTATTGCATGACATTACACTTTTTAACTGTATTTTATGTGTTGCAAGAGCTTCTTCCATTTACTGTAAGGATAACCCGTGGAGAAATCACACCCTGTGTGATGGATGTATGCATGGAGATGACTGTAGATTACGATACTCTAGGATCCATTGATATTCCTGTCATTACTCTCTAAGCTAACCAGAATTCTAGTTTTTTCCTAGCCTAATGCCCTGATCAAAACATTAAGGTGAGGCCAATTACCCCTAAAATCGTTGAGCCCACGTGACCGTGTTGATTTGCAGAAAAATACGCCTCAGAAGTGGGTGAAATGCTGTACCTATCCTCACTAAATCCATAAGCGAGGATTAGATTTGATTTGGAATGACTTTTGTGGTGTTCTTTAACATGATCAGCGCCTCATTATCAACTTCCTACAGATCTTGACTTTGGTTATGACAGTTTAAGCCCGACCCTAAACATTCATACTCAAGTGAGCCATTTATAGTGAAATGCATGATGATGAGAAAATTTATGATTATTAGGCGACCCATCATGCTCAATATGTGTAACGCAATTTTTCAATATTGTGCCTTCTGAATGCACTGAAAAATTAGTCTTCGAAAGAAAAGTTGTACAAAACTGTTCTATAATCACTTAAGCAGAATTGGTTTAAATCGGTATATAATTTTAGAAGACATAACAAGTGGTTCTCTGTATAGCTTACGAGTTATTACTTGACTCCAAATTACTGTGTGCCTGATATTGTCAGTGTCTGTAAACTGGAGTCTCTCAAGTACAAAACCTTGAAAACAGATATTATCATAACACTTTCAGTGAAAACTCTGGAGCCCTTACAAAATATGATATTCTCCAGATTCTCAGTCGTTTATAGGTTTCCTGAAGCTTCAGTATATCTGTATTCACACTGTTATTTGCATTTTGTTTAATATTCATCCGAAAGCAGACAGACGTTTACTTTATAGGCGACCCAAAGTTATTATTTGAGCCACATAATTTTGCCACTGAATAAAAACACTTGTGAAACCTTTCATCAATAAGTTTAACCAGAATGATTTTTAATAGACCAAAATACTGATCAGGAAGATAGTTTCTTTCATTAGGTGTTAGGGTAAACGCAGAAATACTACCCTGGTATTGGTAGGATACCAGTCTATTAGAACAATTCATGACAAGTCACAAAACCAGATGCCAACAAAGTACAAAACGGAAACTTTCGTTTCGCGAAGATTTAACTACCAGAAACTCATAATACAATGCGATAACCAACTTCCAGATAAGAATCAATAAAACCTAGAGAAATTATTCGAGTGACTGTCAGCCAGGTGGTGAATAAGACCTAACTTAGAAGCGTTGACTGAACAAAGTAGAGTTGGTCACCACAGTGTATAGTTGACCACCATGTAAATCTTTTAGGCGAAAATCAATGTAATGTGCATTATAACTTATCATACTACTATTCAGGTCTTTTGTCAACCTGCAGTTAACAAATCAGCGTCAAGAACTCCTACCTCCGACAAATGAGAAGATAACCCAAATGAACACTACCTATTGGACACCATTTCGACAGCAATTTTAGTCACATAATTGCCACATGTCAAGATTCACTTAATCCCTTTAAGCTCTACCATGATTAAAACTGGTAACTTGAGTAGAATAATTTCACCGCTCTGTAAATGTGCCGAACTTTAGACATTTATTATCAAAGGCTTAGAGCAGAAACGCTATTTTGACGTAAATTTAACTAGCATGTTACGGAATGAATAGCCTACACTTAGATGGCTAATCCATTGAACCAGTGTCAACCTGTTCTACGTAAAAGTGCATATCGGTTTACTGTGTGGGCAGAGTAGCTTAAAGAAATAAGCCTACAATCATCCTTTTCACCAGTCAGATGCTTACTAAATTGAATATCTTCTAGATTTACGTACAGCTGATACCCAGTAAAGCATCCACAATTCAAGTATTTCTAAGGCAAATCGAAAACCATGTTACACGTATTCCTAAAAAGTTTAAGTATTTTGCCTTGCGTGCACTTAAAAGAGGTTAAGTAATATAGTTTCCAACTCATTTATTTATATCGGAGCTGGTCGTTTGAGAAAACATCTTTCAACTAGACAGTTTCCTTTAAAATATATCTCTAAGGTGGTACCACATTTCTGAAGAAGTGTTAGAGGGAGGTTTAACTGGAAGACATCTGGGTTAGTAACCTGCCATTAAAAATCTGAGCTAATGAAACGGATTATGTCACGTAGTGATCTTAGAATGGTGGGCATACAGGTGCAGTCTAGTAGTGATAGAGATTTTTCGTGTCTACTAAAACATTAGGTCGAAATACTTAGGATATTTTACTTTGTGTGACTTAGTCACGATTGAGCTTCGAAGCTTATTGTTATAGTTGGTGTTCTACTTACCCGCCATTTCAACATTTTTTGTCTTATGTCTTCCTCTCAGTCTAGGCGTGGAGTGCGTAAACGTACACATGACAGAGCTTTTACTGGCCATTCAGCATCTATGGACTCAACGCCTGTAGCAAACAATGGTCAGAAACCTCCATCAAGTGTTCATTTTAAGACAAAATCTATGTCTACAAGTTTGAAAAGGTTTGTATTACACTGACAAAATCACATTACTTAAAGGATACAAAAAGAACTGACAGATATTATGTCAGATCCACCACCTAACTGCAGGTTTGTCGATTTTGTTGGTTACTGTTAGTGCATTTCCTCGAGGAGATAATCTTTACGAATGGGTTTCAACTTTGCTGGGACCCCAAGGGTCAGTCTACGAAGGTGGAATATTTTTTCTCGATATCCACTTTTCTACGGAATATCCATTCAAGCCTCCTAAAGTAGTTATTATAATATGCTGACTTCTACTGTTCAGGTGATATTCAAGACGCGCATCTATCACTGCAATATAAACAGTCACGGAATAATATGCCTGGATATACTCAAGGTGAGCCATATTTGCTTCAGTTTGCTGCCAGTTAAGTCACTTTTTTGAGTTTTTTCTGCCTACCTAGTACTAAATTACTGGTATCTAGAAGAAGTAGGTATTACCTCATAGTTTTACTTCATCATGTTTTAGAACTGGGGATAACTGGATTTTATTGTTTGATGATTTTTTGGTATAAAGTGTCGTTGGGAAATTTACTCTTGATCAGAAGTAAGCATTATTGGTTTGGAAGCTGATGCAACCAAGCAGAAACTGAGGTCACAACTGGAGAGGCAATTAATAGGATAAGGCCAGGTGATGTGAAAAGTTGTAAACAGCTTTTGAATTAGTATAAACAGTTAAAGGCCATGTCTCAATGTAAGCAATCCAATGATATGTGTGCATGGGCATTAGTATGTTGGATTCCGAACCATGGTCTTCAAATCAGCAATCATGTTTTGATACCTCCACAGGCGTGCTGGGTGGTTCGCAAATCAAATGTGTTTAGGTTTTTCCTCCCGTCCTAGTCCTCTACAGTTAGTGCTGTTTGCTCCATGCACATTCTCTTAAATTAACTAGTATAGCCGACAGTGAGTGGATTCCCCTCTTGCCTCAAAATGTCGACATACAGTCACGCGTCTAGTTATCACTTCGGTTCACTGAATGCTGGCGTGTTGATAGTATCTTGGCCGTCACGTGGGGTTTAGAAAGATTCAGTTATGCGGTGTTACAGCTTTTTACACTACATTGGTCGTATATTCGAACATTCAGTTCATTGTCATTCTGATATTAATATTACTTACTCTGATGAGTAAAATGCTTTGAAGGCAAAATGATTGAGCGAAGAAATATTTACTTCTAAAATTCTTCCTGTTATATTAAAGTGCTTTACATATGAGGGTAGAGCTAGAGATGATATAATTTAAAAGTAAGCATTTCTTCGCTCAATCGTTTCGCCTTCTATAGTAAACTATTTTACTTAACTTTTATTATATTAGCACTTCTTCCGCGTGTATTTTCACTAAATGCTCGTAATTGTTTCCGTAGTCTGTCTCTGCCGCTATGAATTGCTAATCACATTTAGGGTAACATATGACAACATTCGTTTTGTTTCCACCTACAGCGTCCTCACATCAGCGCGAATTAGAATGAGACCTTGATTGTGTCCATCTTAAAATAGTTCTGTTTACTATATTATATTACTGATGTTACCATTTATATCGAAACTACTAACTGTTGTCGTTATTATTAATTTGCAAAAAGCATTCGTAACTGCATTGACTAGATGTTTCTCTCTGTCACTTGTTAGGGTATGGTCACATTTTTTGCGGGCCAAAAGACGTTTCTTTTGATATTAAGGTTATCTTCAGTTTGTCGCCGTTTCTGTTAGAGAATAGTATCTCTGAGAGGTTAATCAGCATCTTGAAACCGCTCAGCTAGAGCGCGTCATTTCTTACAAATAGTCCTCGCCACTCTGTTCAGACGGCATTTTGGTTAGATGGGGCTACTCCATACTTGTCATAGATGACATTCTAAAGACAGCTGTGTAGTATGTATGAGATGTAGGTCTACGAACTGGAGACAGACTTCGACCGAAAGTACGCAGGCCATATCGTCTTACTGAGCGGTAACATATAAGCAGCTCAAATCACTTAACCAGTTAAGTCAATATCTGTAAGCATGGTATCTGCTTCGCGTCATCCAAAAGCCCGTACGCTGCACTCAAATGAGTCATTAAGATCAGCAGAAAGCGTGATCATCTAAGCAATTGTGTGAGCGCTGTTTCCAATCATCTGGAGAAAATAAGCGTCTACCTGAGTCGCCTCTAGCGCTGTGATAGTAGTCTGGTCACCAAAAATTGGTTTTGTAGCGCTTGGACATGTGATGATCCTGCGTGTTCTACCCTAACTATTGCCGTAGAACTATGTGTATCCTATGACGTCACTGTGTAAGTAATTCTTATGTTTTATGACGTCTGTCTGAACATGGACGAGGTTGTCCTGGAATACCACTTTCCCTGCCATTTATGTATGCTACGAATGCCATCCCCGGTGTCTTTGATAACACTAACAGTTATCTAGCCTCGGAGTTGCTCGGAAAAGTGGGCGAATGCACGATAGGGTTGGATGAAGTGAAGTAATGGGTTAGCATCTTTGGTGCAACATGATCCCTAGCATAGAAAGCTGTCCAATAATACTTCAAACTAGTTTGTCAAGGCGGTTAGACATTTATATCAGGCTTTTTACGAAAAGTTCTGTGATACCAGTGCCGTATTTACAGCGAAAAGCTGCGGCATAATTTTAGATTAGATAGCAAAGTTACACTGTAACTTAGTGCATTAATTTGTAATAGAAGCGAGATCAGTATGCAAACGCTATTGATTGAAGAATCAGCTTAAAATTTTGCATAGACATGGATTAGTTCAGGCTGAGTCGCTTCGAATTGCCACAGAAAAAAAGGTGACTGAAATGTAGTGATACTACAATTGTCAGACACAGAGTGTAAGAGTATGAAACCACAATTAGTGCAGATTTTTAGATAATAAAATAAACTGCTCAACTGTGAACGGTTTTTGAGTCATGTCACTGTGAGACTCCATCCGTTGATCCTTACTATCCTTAGGTCCCGAGCTAAGCAACTTACACCTCCTTACGTCGTTGACGTTTTTCGACAATTCTCTCATAGTTTGGTGTAATGCTTCTCTTCGATTACCTTAGATTTCCTAACAGCCTAACCCCATTTCATTTAGTATCAAAGGCAAACGTATCACCTATATCGATTGTGATTTGGTTAAATATTACCTAGCGTGCTTCTAAACTTGTCGTTAGTAGTCGAATGAAAATAGGCGTGATCGAAAACCTCTAGTCTTTCCAGTCAATGGCAGTATGAAACGACTTTAGAAGAAGGACTAATTGAAAAAGTGTATAGTGCACATGCTCATTGAAAAGTAGCCTAGCATTCCTTTAACCCCTAATACACTTGAAGTTGGGGAATACCACATAAATCTTTTATTCATGTAGGAACTCCGAAAACCACCAGGACTATTGAATCGTCCAAAATGAATAAACGCTCAACTGTTCCACACACAATCTTAGAAACAAGAGTCGACCTTTAATTTAGTCATATGTCTTACGCTGTTTAGGGTTACTAACAGTACTGTTAGTCTTTCTAAGTGTTGAAGGAACTATGTCGACGTTTCATTCAAACTGCGATCAGATATTAGGTGACAGTAGAGTAAAACTTGCTCTCACTCTATACACAAGATGTATCTGAGATTTTCATTAGTGGTTGTTTTAATTGACTAACCTAACTTTTTAATCTTACCAGAAATATTTGTGACTTCAAAATTGGTTTCCTCAATTTTTTAGGATAACTGGTCTCCAGCACTTACTATCAGCAAGGTTTTACTATCCATTTGTTCGTTGCTTACTGATTGCAATCCTGCTGACCCCTTAGTTGGGTCTATTGCTAGTCAATATATGCATAACAGATCAGAACATGATCGTATTGCACGATTATGGACACAGAAATACGCGAATTCTGCCACATATCCCTCTACTGGACATACGCAGGGGATAAATGCCGATTCCGAGTCAAATAGACGAGATTCGCAGGCCATACTGTTACCAGTTCCAAGGTCGTCAGATTCCGAACATTCAGGTTGTACATCAAACAAAGATGATATTCTGACCGAAGTACCGTGTACAGAAAGTAGTAGCACAAGTGCCTGTACAAGCGTTGGAGCTAGAAGTGATGGTGGAGAAAGTGTGGATGAAGTTCTTGATGATGAAACTCCTGTACCTTCTACAGAATCATCTGTTGTTCATTCATTCACTCCTGCTTGATTTTTTTTCAATATTGTTCACTTACCTGGTTCTTTCGTTTCTTCATGGTTTCTTGTTTTAATTTAATCCACTAACTGTTTTGAAATCCTTTTGTAAAGCGGAATCATGCATACTTTTTATAGTTCCTAGGAGATCCCGATATATATATATGTCGGGATTTAGTTTTTCCTAATTGCATTCCCTTGTTGGCACACGCTGTTTCCGCTAATTATATAATGATTACTCAAGTTAAAGGTACTGATTAAAACCGCTTGAGTAGAATATCTGTAATTCTATATCTCAGGTTTGTTAATTTTAGGCACTTACATTTTAAAAAAGTTGTACATTTTTGTGAATCGCCCTCGAAGGGATTCTATAATGTTGATATACAAATTTTTACCAGTTGTATAAACATGTATTTAGTGCTTGTTTCTCGAAAAATTCATGTGCCTCCGGACATATCAGCATTTCTTCGTTCGTTCTTGTCTCATATGTTGATGTTTGTTGAATTAAAATAACTTTTTAATCAAACAGTGAAATTCCTCATCTTTTGTAAAGTTGTACAGTGATTGCTAACGTGCAAACTTCGTAGTCAATACAGTAGAGACGTTCAATCGCAGCCTCTTTAATCTAAAAGGACAGCGCATGATGGGAACACTCACAGTTGACTTTCGATGTAATTATCGACCTTAATCAAATTAAAACATGTGCGAAAGTAACAGCAAGTGTTGAGACGCAAATTAAGGTGTAGAGATTGGTTCGCATTTTTATCTGGTTGGTCTTAAGCTTTTGGAGGAACCTTATAGTTTTACGAACAAAAATAGAAGTCACCGTGGAAACATTTAGGCGAATACACGAAATAATCGCCTTATAGTTCGGTTGCATAAATAGAAGTATTTCCGATATTATCCTACTGCTGTTGTCCATAACCTATCGATTGTTTAATGGAGTGCAGAACATGTCGATCAAAACTACATTGCTACACTGTGGTCTATCGTGAACGTACTTGCTCTGAATAGTATCTGTAAATTTCGTGAGATCAAAAGGTTAGTTGATGCTTAACTCCCTGTGTCGTTTGATAAACTGAAACTAATATTTTGCTAACAGGTTAAAGTAAACATTATAAGCATAGAAAAATAAACGTAACATTTATTTTCAAAAAAGAAAGAGATAGAAACTGATCTTTTAAAGTATTATTGGTAAAAAATATGAAAATATACATCAGGGGGTTGAAGCAAGTTAGCATGATAATTTATCTCATCATATATATATATATATATATATATATATATATATATATATAAATCACAATAGGTTAAGCGATTCATCGAACCACATCAGGAGGGTTTTCAAAAAACACGCCTACACGAGGTAGTAATTCATAGAACAATATATAAGCGTTATCATTCTGGAAGTAAAAAGAAAAGCGGTCGTGAGTGATAGAGTATGGCTTCAAAGGCGAAAATAATCAGTAGAATTCATGTAAAAGCAGGTTAAAATATACTTCCAATGCTATGCTATGAGAGGGATTGGTAACTTTTAAAATGGCGAATAGTAAATCGCCATCTTAATTGAGGCTGATTGATTCCTAGGAGTTGTATTATGGTTGACATGTTGTCTAAAGATTCACTTGGTAGGTAGCGCGCTCACACATTTTAATGCTGCACTTCTCGAAAATACTGACGCACATTTACTTGTTTCACTTACTGTTTCCAGTCAGGACAACATAAATTAGTCGAGAGAGTAGCTTTAAAACTTCATAGCCTTATATTTCTTGTGGCTCTGTTGCGAGGGAAGCAAACTGTCCAGGTACCAATTCAATGGACTCGCTTGTCCAATGCATGTTAATTCATTCGTCAAAAGCTGACGTTTTCTCACGTCCTTACTATTAATGAGATATGCTTATGTTAGATGGTTGGAGGCAATCAACAGGAAGCCCTGAACCTGGGTTTCGTGCTTGTTGACACTCGTCAGCATGGTGTGCCTACAATATTGAAGGGATTATGTCCCCTTTTGTTTGGAATTCTAGCCCGCGTCACTTATTACTGCGGTTGGAGACGTTACCACTTAGCTATTCGAGTTACGTATTCACATTTTATAAATTAGCTGACCTATTTCCCACCTGAATCAATGAGGAATTAGCTTCTGAAATTCTCTGAATTTTGGAAGCATATCTTGAGGTGTTATAGTTACAGTTTGAAACAAGAATACATTTTAGTATTCAGTTGTTTGTCTTGATGAAGTACTCACTGAAACATCTATATATTTGTCCTAACTAATGTTCTGCTTCAGTGAACTGATGCGAGAAGCACATTAACATTTTGAAATCTAGCATAATATCATTACCACTACTACCACTACTGTTCCCCAGAGATTTAAGCAATCACAGCCCATATTGTATTACTTTCCCTGCGAGTTAAATGTGGAATACTTGTGCAGTGTAAGATGCGCAGAGGAATTAAAGTTATTTAGAATGATGCACGTGAGCAATACAAATTCAAAACATATGGTTACCATGGTCTTAATATTGAGTGATAGGAAACAAAAGTCATTAGGTGGTAAATGAGGAATGCAGTTTGAAGCAAATAAGAAGGCAAACGAAAAGATTTCTGCAGTTCCCAAATTTTATATAGCGCTCGCAGTTAATTCATATTTTAAACACATCCGAATTGGCAAAAGTTAGAATTGATAGGCATTTATTTTGATTCCGTCCCCGTGACTAAATGGTTTAAGAGATTGAAATAGCTGTCCATTACTCCCCAGTTTTTTCAGTGGTTCCCTAACTCTGAAGTCAGTTCGTGATCACGCTTAAAATTTGAAGTACAACGCAACACTGCATTGCATAAGTGGTATCCTTTTAAATGTTTTTCACAAGTTATTGAAATAACGCAGAAGACTTGTAGGTCAGGTGGTTATGTGGTGGTGTAAGTTACCCAACAGGAATAAGTGTTTCGTTTAGGCTTTGTGTACGAAAGCTTATCCATATGGTTCATAAAAATGTTCAACTTCAGCGATTGATGTGCGTCGGTGACTCGGCGGTAGAATACTCACTAACCCACCCCCATGTGGTCTGGGGTTCGACCCCCAGTCGATGCGAGACTAAAACCTCTTTTAGCCGGTAACAAGCCCGGTAAAGAGGGGAAGTTGGACGTGAGGTTAGAAACCCCACCCCGTAAAAAAACAAACAGCGCTGCTACTGGAACTTCAAAGCTCAAGCTTGAAGTCCTATGTTCCATTCGGAGCGCATAGAAATACATACGTAGTCGATAAAGTCGCTGCTTTAGGTGTATCATAGAATGATAACTAAACAAGTTAAATTATTGAATGAAGAAAATCACTGTACAAAGCAATTACATTCTAACTTACTTGTATCTCATTTCTGCTAAGTAAGGACACATTTTCATCATCATATTCATACCATCGACCATCACGGATATTGCGACAGTATGTTGTATCTATTTGAAACAATAAAAGAAACGGTCTTGTAAAATACATAATGCTATGATAAATAATGGAAATATCACAAAGCTTATGCAAATATCATAGTTAAAACCAAAAGGTATGCGGTAATTTTAGAGTGATTGGAACCGCACACATGAGTCACTCATTCACGTCGACACAAAGGTGAAATCCGAAAGGGAAAATGTGTAGGATTGCACTGCTTATTAAGTAAGTATGACACCGTTCCATGGATTTAAGTGGGTCAGATTCGTTTAATATCATTTCGTGTCTTAGTATAACTCTATAAGTGACATTTTAAATGTCATCCTGTCATTGAAAGGTTGTCATAAAATAAGGTGAACTCTAGTTTTTATTTTTTGTCGATACAAGTGTAACCAATCACCACGAGACTTACTCAGGAGTGTGTTTAACGCTCCAAACACTAATCTAAAGAAAAAACTTCACATCAAATGAAATTAGCCTCTGAAGAAATAATAAAATAAGAAGGGAAGCACGATCAAGGCGGAAGGAAATACAACCATTTTTCATATGATGCGCAAACACTTGCTGATTAAAACTAATTGTCACCGTAAAAAATTATATGACGATTACTTAAAATTTACAGAAAGTAGAAACTATCCTTTGTTCCCATAGAGACAATTTTATGCGTTGTCCCCGCAGTTTCATAATTCCGCTTAACGTAATTTGATCAGAAGGGTATTTCAGTCTTGAAGCATCATTTGCCACATGGGGTGAATAAAAAAGACTGCTCTCTCTCTCTCAAGATGCCCTTCAGTATTCGCAAAGGTTTCTGGGGATTCAGTCGACATATTTATTTAGCGAGAGTATTTCATCTAGGTAGTCTACGTCAGTTGGGTTGTGCGCATCTTTAAGTTGTAAACAAAAGATGTTGAGTGCAGTAGTACACTAATTCACGCGGAGCCAAGGGTGATTATCCACTTTTAAAAGTTGTTGTTATACAGTCAGTTTCTATAAGCCCTTGTGAGTTTGGAGATAAATAGATGACTTTTAGTGACTTGACTTCCAGTAAATTCTATCCACTCAAAATATCACTTAAGAATGAAAGAAATTAACGAAGTTGAAGGTGTGACAATTCATGCACACGGTTGAGAATCAGTCTGCCAACCTATAGTACTAGGGATTGAGTAGTGCAAGCATAGTCTACATATAGTGTGATCTGAAGTTTTGGCTTTTTCAGAGGACACCGTAATGAAATTTCACCTTGGCTTGCGTGCTTTGCAAATAAATAACTAGTTGTATTTTTTGTGTTTGTCATAATTTTTGGAAAAGCCTATTCACAGAAGAAAATTTTGAATGAATGTCATGAATTGACAGAAGTTAGAATTCATGGGCTGGCCATTGGATCGAGTCCCAGTGGCTTAATGGTCTACCAGCTCGCTAGCCTTGTAACCAGAAGATCCTGGGGGTTCGGACCCCGGTGGGTGCGTACTGATGAGGAGTCCCATAGAGTCAGGACGAAACAGTTGTCCAGTACTCCATACAGGTTTCCCAACGGTTCTCTAACTAATGTCAGTTAATGATGAAATCCTCCAACCAATCAAAACCTTGAAACTTTATAAATGCCCACTGCATAGAGCTGAAGAGAGAAAGTTTAGACAAAATCATGTACACGGTATAATTTTTTGACATAGGAAGCTAAATAGGCAAGTAATTTGACTCAAGTAAGATAAAATCATTAATTTAAGAAGAACAATATTTTCTAATCAACTTACAGTGACCACTTTCCATTGTACCACGATGATTCTGAATTGAAAAAGAGGAGAAAAATCATAAAATACTGTCTCACGAAAACTGAAAGGTATTTAACTTAGAATCAGGTGTTTAGAGACGATATGTACCTAACAACCCAGTGAATCACAATAACACTTTAGTGGACTGATATGAATAAGCATGGAACACTCAAATCTCAATCTAGACTTCAGTGTTCTTAGATATACACTACACTAACAAGTGAAATGAAACGCGAAGTATGAGTAAAAAAAATGCTTCGCGGAATAAAAGACTATTTGATGTTTCG